AAAAATCTGACTGCGGCACGAGAGACATCCAGCTGAGAGGTTGGGGTGACCTCAATTGCGTAACGAATAGCGCACTTGACCAATAAGCGAATGATGTACGTTCTAATCCCACTGGTCCGACTTTTGCCATAACTCAGCATTTTTGTAATGAAAGAAAAATATGTTCACGCAATGTTGGTGTACTTACCGACTATCAAGCCGATGCCGGCACCAAGAGCTTCAAACTGCTGCGCTATTTGAAACGCAAGTTCTCTGGTAGGCGTAAGTATCAAGCCGAAAAGTTTCTGTGGTGTTTCGAGCAATGACTGCAGGATTGGCAATGCGAACGCAGCTGTTTTACCAGATCTGAAATTGTTTTCCACAATACAGGTCAATGAATGGACATGGTGAGAAAGGAGCATTACTAAAAAAGGGTGCAATGAGTTTATTCCGAGACAATATCATCAAAAAATCTTATAAAAAGAAAGGCACAAGAAAGTCACTTTCTTTCCAGCAGATACGGAATTTTCCTAAAGCACCTTTGGCGGCCACGTCTCACACAGAAGCTATTGAGGATATTCTGTTCTCCGGTCCAAAAGTCGCACTTTTCTGGGGCAGTGGAGGGCGTCTTCAAAAGTGGCTGTTATGTCAGCGCTGATAGTTTTTGAGCCGCTCAACATGAAATATGCACCAACATACGAAGAATCTGCAGCGCTCAAAAAAGGTAGTCAATCCGCATGGCTATCATTTCACGGGGATGAAGAAGGTAAGACTACTTGGGAACGAGTAAGCACGCTGCTGTCGCAGTTTGTTGTAGCAACTGATATGCGGACGTTATCGTTGGACGATAACCAATCCCCTATCGTTGGACGATACTATCCCCTACGAGTAAGGACATCTTTTACGGTGATAGATCACATTGACAGGTGTGTCGGGACCCATTGCTCGATGTGTCATGACAAGTTAAGATCAAGCTCCACAAGTCCGTATAATCATTGCCGCACAATGAATTGCGACAGCGCCAAACTCACAGAAATCCGTCTTTACGGTGCCAGAAAACGGAGCACAACATACCCTGTTTCAGCTAAGCCGATGACATCCCTTCCAGAGAGTGCGTGTGGAAGAGCCGCTATTTGAATTTTTGTCGGAGTTTTCCAATCCAGTCGTTCGCATGCCTCACAAAGTGAGTCACAGACACCCTTAAAAAAATTATATAGCCATGGGTGAGGTTTACTTGAATAGTTTCCAAAAGGAACCGATGAAATAATCTTGAGGAGTTGCCAATAAAAAAATCTAACATGTAGAATCTACACAACAGTGGTGTTGTAGTGGCAAGTATCCGTTTGACTCTAAGCTCGGCTCGGTTTCGGCCTCCAGGCCTTCTGTCCTCCGACGATGATGAAAAGGCAACTGATTCGTCTAGGGGAAAAGGATGGCTGACTTGTGCATTGGCTGACCCACACAAGGCATTGTATAGGTGACATCATAATCAATAAGTCACTAAGATTTTGAATGGAAGCGAAATGGCTGCGAAAAGGGATGGATTATCGGCAAATGCTTTATCCCTCTACCCTCTGCAACTATCCCACAAATAAGCGAGGCCGTATATTGGTACGAACACGCTTCTCTGTTCATCAAAGAGAAAAAATCAATAAAAATGATAAGTCGCGCTAAACATTGAGAAGTACGCCATGGAAGACTGAAGTAAGGCAATATGGGATCTATTCACTGAAGGTAGAGCAAGAAAACCTCTGAAGGTGTAGGGGCGATTCGGCTGAAGTTCGATGTCGACATTTTCGTCTGTAACTCAGCCCCCCCCCCTGCTACGAAGTTTATGAACACCGTCTCAGGGCAGTTGTCAACCTTGGAGCCACTCTTCTCTTTCCTTTTTTTCTCGCTCCTTCCTTCTTTTCCCTCCTTACTTCTCTGTTGCCTCCTCCTTTACCTTCTCCCTTCAACTAATGGGTTAGTAGGCACGTACCCCGGACCATCGCAGTGAGAGACATGGTTGACAATTGCGAAAAGGGCATCTCCTCCCTCAGTAGCGCACAGGTTCCTTCTGTTCCAACAGCACAATTCGAGGAAGTTAACGGGAATGAACCCACTACTCTACTTCTACTGAACCCATGAGTCATGATCGGCCCAAATTATGTGCTGTCCAATTACGCTTTCCCACTGCCACAGAATTTTGAAAGTAGTTTTCTTCTGAAAAATCACTGTCAACAGATCGCGTTCGAACTTGTAATCCAATTTTGGCAGCCGATATAACAATGATGCTGATAGTGAAGTAGTGATACGATCCAAAATTCCAATAAACGGCACAAACCAATTCTTTGAACGTCTTTGGTTCCTGCTCATTGCGTTGGTCATCCTCGTTTGCGTCAGAAGAACCACCTTAATTATCAGTGAATCGACGATATGTTATCACAAAGCAAGAAGACGTACCATCATGGTGCTCTTCAGTCTTTGAATGCTTGACCGATCTTTGTAGCGCCTCCTCAACCTCTTCACCTTCCGAACTAGATGAGTCTGACATCTGAATCACACTGAAAACGTTCTGGCCTCCATCAACATGTGATGAAAAGGAAGAAATAAACGAATTCACGAACATAATTGAAAATTTTGATGTTCTATTACTTCTGCGAGAACGAGGTTTGTAGGTGGAACTTTATTTGCGGCCTAACGTTTCGACCAGATCGTCGTCCTCAGAGGCCTGAACGTAGCTCAAGATTTTTAATTTGCTCTCTACACCGCCAAACGCCTTGTCGCCCCAGCGTTTCCGACGGTACTTCCAGAAACAACCAAAAACCTCCCGTATGTAAAACATACTCACCGAGTCCACCGCGGCATGAGCGGGTCAACGCCGCTCCACTAGATGTTAGTAATGTAAGTGAGACACACCGTGCTGTCCTTGTGTAGTAGCTATCAGGACTTGCACATCTCACGGCTTACATCATTAACTCGCAATGTGGTGAAAACGGTAAGAGATCATTTGTTATGGCTAAACACTCATTTCGGTTATTCATCCTGGGATTCCTTGCGGAAATCCAGAATGCCTCTAGCGCTTTTCTGGCGGAGATCTCAGTCCTCGTAGCGCCTAGGATGCCTGCACTTTCACAATCAAGAATCGCTATTCCGCGTGCTCTTCGATAGATGCTTTCCCTAACGTGGTTGTTGTTGTTTACCGACGCGGGCCTTTACCAGCAAGATGTTCTTTGATAACGTGTTGCCAGTGGCCCTACTACCAGCTATCCCAATAGTATGTTGGCATTACCTGTCTGGCATAATGCAAGACATGTAATGCAATGCATACATTGGGGAGAAAGACAAAGAGACGACCAAAGCCGCCAACTGTCCTATTCTATAGGAGCCCGCGCTAGCCCAGCCATAAGGTCACGTTCATCAGCGCTGAATATTCGGCACCATGTTCCACTGGGCGGTGAAAAGGGTGTGGCCTGGTGACTACTCTTGAAGATCTATGTAGAGTGATTTCCTCGGAACGACTTTTTTGTGAGGTGTCATGCGGCGGACTCGTGAGTAGTTTTACATACGGGAGGTTTTTGTTGTTCTGAAGTACCGTCGGAAACGCTGGGGCGACAAGGCGTTTGGCGGTGTAGAGAGCAAATTAAAAATCTTGAGCTACGTTCAGGCCTCTGAGGACGACGATCTGGTCGAAACGTTAGGCCGCAAATAAAGTTCCACCTACAAACCTCGTTCTCGCAGAAGTAATAGAACATCAAAGTTACAACAATGCCGAGGTTATACGAAGAGAGAAGTTGGAGACTATAACGAAAGCTTCAGCGACTCTGGCGTCAGCACTCTCCTAATCCCTCAGCTGGGCAAAGGGTGGATTCACACCTCGCGTAGAGCAACAAAGAGCAGACGACAAAGCCGCCATTCTATTCCATATAGTTTCTATCGAGGCCTAGCCCAGCATAGGTCCACAGAATACATTAGCGCTAATATTCGCCCATGTCACTGGGCGGTGAAAAGGAGGTGTGGCCTGGGTGACTACTCTTGAAGATCTTATGTATGGCGTGATTTCCTCGAGACTGACGTTTTTTGAGGTGTCACGCGACGTCGTGACATGTACTGACATCTAGCGTATCGCACTGCGGACCTATGGTCTGGTTCGCTGTGGATGATGGGGCGTCTGCGTTTGCGTCGCCAAATTCATCCTCTACAGGTTCGTTAAAAGCGGGTAAATGAACAACAAATAGTGAAAAACCGACAGACATGAACGACACGATGCAATCCTATCGTTTGCCGAAAGAAAGAAAAAACGGGTTGGCACCTCGCCAGACGCGGCCGCGCGGAACCCCCATCGTCCGCAGTGAGCCAGGCTATACAGGGGGGGGGGCAATGAAAAAGTCACTTCGATCGAGTCACATATCAGCAAGGTTTTCGCAGCCGGACGTGGATACGAGTACCAGGGCGGAAGATACCCAAGATGTTCCTCGATAAGCAGGAGCTGGCTCTCGCCCATCACCTTCATGTACACCAAAATATGAAGTCATCTCCAGTCGCAGCCTGACTGGAGAAGACCTTTGGAATTCATGTCACCTCCAAACAGCTGCGAAACTTCTAGTGTGGAGTCACCCATGGATCAGCTTATCTCGGGACGCAACTAACGCTCTTGATCTCACAAGGTCGCCCAAATCGAGCAGGCTCCGATAAGCGTCGGTGTGATTTTACTTCGCAGACCCCGAACTGAAGGTGAGCGCTGGCGATTACATCGAGCAGCTCGAGCAAATATCATCCACGTGTCGTCGCCCGTACCTTCTTGGAAACTTTGTACTGCTACAGGATTGGGTGACACCACATGAAATTGAAGGGCGTTGGAAAAACTCTCGCCTACTTGGAATGGAAGGGCGTTGAGTACCTGAAGAAGATGGAATATCAAAGCAGGTCACCTGACCTAAACCCCCTCAATTACCTGGTTCGGGCGGAGTTCAATAGGTGGTCTACAGTGGCGGAGAAATCAACGATCTCGCTGAACTCAGGCACCGAACCATGGTTGCGTGGCAGAATCTCGATGGCGGTGGTCCAGAAGGCTGTGGCGGAGCATCATGATAGTATTTGATATGCTCTTTAATATGGTAGTAAAAAGGTCCGATCAGAATTCAATAAAGTGTAACGTTATAGTGTAACTTATAGCGCCTCGAAAAGTCAAGGAAGAAAAGTGTCTTTTTTATTGGCCCTCCTGTATATAGGGCCAGCACTTTTCCTCTCCGTAAAATTGTTGTGAATTATATGGAAGTCAGTTCAACAGTGCTCAAAAAATTTTCTGTTCAAAAAATGCATCAAGGAGGTGAAGAACACAGGAAGTAATTCAGCAGGATAAATGCTGAACACGGTATATTCCTAATACGGAAATTTAGGTAAGCACAATTGCGATCTCAAACGATGAACAACAGAAAGAACAAACAAGAGTAAGAGCAAAGAAAGGGTAAGGAAGTGTGTGAAGCAAAGAAAAATGGAAGTAAACGAGGTAAACAAATAAAAACTGATTATGCCATACTTGAACTGTTTCACTGGCCTTGTACATAGCTATCCTAGTTTCTTGTGCACTAAAAAACATAAAAGGAAACTGCACAACACGAATCAACACAGGCGTTGTATATAAAATACCACCAAACAAGCCGTGCAATTGCGTACTCTTTGCTGCTACAGTCCACGTCCAAGTATTCACTCTGTGGCTGCTGTGCCAACTGTAATTAAGCAAAAGGCAAAGAAAAGCTTGCGATTGTGCCGGAGGGGCTAGTGAATATCCGATTTTGTATCATAAGTTTGTTTTCAATTGGTTTACTACATCAGGCCCTTAGTAGAGGATGCACTCCACTAGTCAAAGCGAGACTGTTGGTTGTTATCGTGCTTAAAGGTTGTTCTTTTCTGATCAAAAAGCGTGACTTAGGAGGAGGCGAGGGAGGGGAAGCCAGGGGCTGTGCTTCGAACCGCGACGAAGATTGCACGCAGGTAGAGGGGATGGGTAAGTGCAGGTGAGCAAGTACTACTGAGCAAAGCTGTGGCAAAACTAGTGAAGCGCTGCCCCGTTTTTGTATCAGGAGTGCCGCAACTCCGTCGACGTTTGAATTCATGATAAATTGATGTGGTAGAAATGAAACTACAACATAGCCAGAAAGTGTAGAAATGAAACTACAACATAGCCAGAAAGTGAAGTTTGGCTGAGTCTTCCTCTCCCTAGCGTTAGTCCCGCGCCGTCGCAGGGTCCGCTGTTCTTGTTAGACGTCGCCACTTGTTCCGATCTGCATCTTCTGCCGTGGCTTTCACTTCAGTGAGGTCCTTCTTGATGACGTCCCTCCATCTTTTCTTTGGGGCTCCTCGTGGTCGCTTGCCCTCTGCTTCGAATTCCAATGCCTTCCTTATTGGGTGGTCCTCAGGCCTTCTCAGCACGTGCCCATACCATCGCAGTCGCTGCTCTCGTGCCTTCAGCTGGATCGGAGCGTCTGTGTGACCGCCTGACGTCCTCGTTTCTGACTCTGTCGAGTCGTGTCCAGCCGCAGGCCCATCTCAGCATCCTCATTTCAGCTGAGTGGAGCTGCCTTTCATGGTTCTTGCAGATGGGCCAGCACTCACTGCCGTAGAGCATTGTAGGCCTTACCACCGCCCGGTACACCTTGCCCTTGAGCGTTCTCGAGCACCGCCGGTCGCACAGGATGCCAGTGGACTCCCTCCATTTCATCCAGGCTGCGTTGATTCGGGTCTTCACCGCCTGGTCCACGCTGCCATCAGCTGCTAGGTCGTTCCCTAGGTACTGGAAGTCTTCGACCCTTTCGATGCCCTCGCCGTGACGGTCTACAATGGG